GAGGTACAATCGGAAACAAGAGTACATAAAATTAGAAATTCGTGATTAATTAGGTTTTGCAGCATATCATGAGGTAAATAAATACTACATATACCAAAAAAAAGTATACGGTTTGAGAGAAAATGTGGAATTTGACCAAAAACTTTGAATAAAATAAGAAATAACGAATAATATGGAAAATTTTTAACTGACTTTTGGCAGTGAATATGCCTTGATTTCAACTTCGAAACAAAAAAATATTTAGTTTCAATCTTTATTAATAATGAGCGTAAAACTTTTTAATATGTTTAAATAATAATTAAAACTTTAAAATTGCATTTATTTCAGACAATTATAAATATTATCATTATATTATCAAGTAAAAACGAGATTTTCAGCTAATTTTTCATTTTTTCCTCGATAACCATTTAGTGAATTTGAATAACCTTACGCTAAAGTGATTCTCCAGAGTTCAAGTTACTTATTATAAAAGTTTGAAATTTCTGGTAGCTTTTTTTCTGTTAATAAAAATAAATTTAATCTGTTCGGTTAACGAATCTCCATAAAATGACGTGTAAAATTACAATTTTTTAAAATTTCAATAACTTTTTAACGGTTTAGTGAATCGATTTGTAATTTTTACAGGAGTTTTAGAATTGAATGAGGAACGTTCTTCCAAATTTTTATTTGTCTCGTAGCATTTTGACATACCTCCCAAACATCCTTAAGTTAGATAAACTTTACAAGAAATATCGGCGGTTCAATTTTCGCCTGTCACACAAGTGGACCAGGTCCAATTTTCCATTTGTCCAATGTCATGTCTTTTCTTTTAGGTTAAACGAAGTAAATTGACACATATAACTGAATTTCGACCACGCGTACTGGTAGCCTTGGAATATTTGTTTATGTTCATTATATTTCGTTAGTCTGTTCAAGCTAATTATTTTTTCCGGATTTTCAAACTCTCCAAATCCATTCAAATATGAAAATGTAGTTGAGCAATTGAACCAAAAACAAAAGGCAACAATTATAGAATATTTAATGCTATAATTAATTAGTAATGGAATCAATAATTGCCTGTTTGTTTTAGTACAATTTTCATAACAAGAATCTACCAGTTTTCATTTACTATACCACCGCAATAAGAAAAAATGCCTTCTAAAAGAATTAATCATACGAAAATTAGCATATCTAATCATCTTCGAAGTTACTACGTGGTCTTTTGGTATAAATACTTTCTAAAATAAATTTACATTCATTAGAGTTGCATTTGTGAAACGCTCTACCAAATAATATATATACTGAAAGGAACCAGCCTCTTTCTGTCTCTCTACTTCTCATTCCTTACCATCCGTCATCGAAATTCGACAGAACCAATAATTTAAAGTCATTCCATGTAACAGAGCGCCGTCACATACGTCCGTTAGAAACTTATTGACTAATGCTACATTTCCAAAAAGTATCTGATCGAGTTAGAAATGGATCATTAATAGGAAATCGCATTAAATTTTCATGAGATTTAAAATTGAAAAAAATATAAATTGATATCCACCATACGCGAAGAAGCCTCAAGAGGCCTATAGTGGGCTGCCTAGATTACGCTAGCAACAAAAAATACCAGATTCTCTAGAATCCACACTCAGGAATCTTTATATTGTCACGTGTAGGTATGTAGGCAACCCAACATACATAGTAGTAAAGAAGACCAGGTTTCTAGACGGCATATACTGGAGCATTCTAGAATACGGCCAGCCTCTATAAATAGTTGTCGCGAGATCCAGTGAGTAGTACGAGTCAGACAGTTCGAAGCGATACAAAGCGAAAAAGAAGGAGCAAAGAAGTGACAAAGTATTCATATAGTGGTGAATTAATAACTGATTAGTAATAGAAGTGTCAATTAGACAGCAATTAATTAAATAACAGTAGTAAAATGGCGAAAAGGTGTTTAAATACAAGACAATATGTAGAATAACTCCATCTCTCATTAATAGTAGTTGGTGCTAGATTGATGGAAGAAACAATCAAATAATCTCATTCGTACCATAAACTAGTCAAGGTATTGAAACAACTGGGGTATATTTTCCCTTAACATGAGTTATATTAATGCCAAATACAATACATATTCTACAATCCGGTTGAGCATTCATCAGCTGCCAACTAAGCAACGCATTTCTTTATACTTATACGAAATATTTCTATAATGATCTTCATGTCCTGTGACTGATTTGTTTATGTTTTTCGAACAAGTCATGAAGAACCGTTCAAACGACACACGAGCCTTTAATACCTACGCTAATTGACGTTCGCGTTGGAAAAGTGTGTCGAAAAAAGCACCAACACAGCAACAACAGCTACCGCTACACAAACATAATATTAGTACAATACAATAATGTCATTATTGTTACCCAACTCCACTTCATGATACAAAAGGCGTCAGCTGTGGAACGACCTTGCATCACAAACGTCATAGCAAACAATACCGACTTTCCACCTTGCTCGTGGTAGAACTGATTACAGTGCACATTAATGTATTTGGAGAACCGTTATTGTAGTTAAAAGTGTTGGTACTGGTACCCACTCAGAACAACAGTATTCGTTAATGACTGGCTTTGCATTGAAAAAAGTAGGCTATCTTTTGTTATTTTGCACTATATAAACATCTTACAACTGTAGTTTTCGAATGAATTTTCAAATAAAACGTTGAAGACTGTCTAAAATTGTCTTTTACATTTGTTTTCGTCTCTCAACAATTCTCAGATATGTTATTCGAATAATATTACTGTTTGTGTCTAGCAAAATTCTGGTTGTACTTCGAACGTTGAACAAATCAAATCTGGAGTCTCACAGGGGTCTCATCTGGGTCCCTTACTTTTCATTCTTTTATTTAATGTTTTATCATCGTCATTAACTTCTGTAAAATTTTCTCTATGCTGATGATGATGTAAAACTATATTCCCTTGTAAAAAAAAATTCTGATAGCATCAGTGTTAAAATAGACCTAATCACTCTTTATAAGTGGTCAATAACAATTAATGCTTCCAAATGCTTTGTACTATCGTTTCATAAAAGTCTATCGTCAATAACAGTTCATTACAAAATTGGAGATCTTAGTATCATTTTCACAGCCTCACTATCTTTTACCAATCACATTACAGCAATTGTTTCCAAATCTACCAGAATCCTAGGTTTCATCTGCCGTACAACGAAGGATTTTTATGAGCCTGACTCTTTGCATCATCTGTATGTTTTAACATTAATATCTCATCCGAGATCGGGAGCTTTCATTTAGACGATTGCCTAGCATTCGGGAGGACGCCGGTTCGATTCCGGGTCCGTCTGCCTTGGTCGAAGTTTTTCTGTGGTTTCCTTGGATCACTCAGGCAAATGCTGGAGCTGTAATATTCCATAGATAATCTTTCATTCTCTTCTGTCTCCATTTCGTCCGTCTCATCTTTCTCACCCGAACCAACACCCAGCCATTCTCACGATTCCTGAAAGGAGGCTGAAGAGGGCCTTCCGCCCTACCTTCCGGCGTAGTCTGAAGGTACTGCCCGCCCACCAACATTACCGGCTAGTGGGACTGAAACACCCAAAAGTTTTTTTCATGTCTCCCCTTTGCCACGATTATGATAAGATGTATCAAACGTTTAATATCAATTAATGAAACAATATTTTTTTCTTGTATTATGAAGGATCTTTTACGTAATCTGTTAACATGTCACCTACCTTCATATGTTATATTTTTTGTACAAGAGCTTTTTAAATAAATAAAATCATAAATACACAAACATATGTAAAATTTTGCGAATCCGTTTGATTCCATGCTCAAGCACAATAGGTACTAAAATAAGAAGAAAGAGAGGTCGATGGTCGTTTGAAAACAAACAGCTGTGCGCCTTGTTGGGCATCGCGTCCACTATCCGTCGCCATCACGAACAAAGCAGTCAAACGCTGATTATGGGAAAATTGTAAAACAGCAATACGGTAAATGCCGTTAGAGCGAGCGAGCAAACGAGTGAGATTGCCTACTACACGCAGATGGTCAATCGACTAAAATGGACACATCTCGTTGCCATCTACATACGTAAATGGTTTAATGCTACCAGAACCTACTCATATACCATGTTCAGCATTGTGGGTTGTGATTTAATTATTGGTTTAATGTACTACAACAAATCCTGGAGGTATTGTTTCACACAAAACGAAAAGTTAAACGAAGGATAGTTATTCTCCCTTAATATTTTTACACGTGTCTTTAGGATTCTAGAGGAGTAATTTGTAAGAACACGTAAAGGCAATTACAAGACGAAGAATATTTTGTTTTTAGACCGATCGGCATGATCTGGTAGATAAATCTTAAGCAAGCATTAAATCCAATCCTAAGATCCCATATGAAAACTTAAACTGTTGTTAGACACCCAAGGTGTCAATCTGCTCGCTTCCTGAAACTTCTGTAAGTTTCTCTTCTCGTATGAGTCTTATTCGCTGTACGTGTTTACGACTCGCAATTGTCGTCATCGAAGATGTAAAGATTCCGCCATTATCGATTGCCGCCTACGGCATTCATTTTTAACTTCTTAATAAAACTAACACATATACTTGTAGGTTAAAAAGGAAATAGGTAATAAAGTGGTATAAGTCTAATAAATGCAATTTAAAGCTTTTGAGTTCTTAGACGAGCAAGTGATATTTTTAGTTGGACCAAATTCTTCCCTTATCTGCAATCGGGTAAATGTATAGATGTTTTTTCAACCACGTCTATCTCAAAATATGAAAATATCGATTGCTTCTCTGAAAACGGTCACAAACTAACCAAAATCTTTTGAACAAAGCGTTCGAGAAGAAGCTTTAAAATGCATTTTTATATGTTATATATTTCAATAGTTGATGTAGATGTAATAGAATATCCCTACCTCAATTCTCATTTACATAATACAGGGGTAGTACGTATAAAACTGTAATATATACATAGTTCTCTAACTTCAAGTTTTACAAAAACTTTATAGTATCTATTTTCTTACCTGCACCACCAAGTTACTACTCATTCGGGTCCTGCAACAAAAAACATATTCACTTAATTAATTAAACCTTGCAGAATAGGGTAGTAGAATTGCATCAATTGTATTAATTTATTTATAATGAATAATTACAATGAGAATAGTATTTTCTAAAACAATTTTACAATTTCTGCTTACAATTTGACTTTTCTAAGAACTGGTGAGCAGTGAGGGGAACACTCGGAAACCCCCAGCGACTAGTTGGTGTTACATTATATGGAAAATAACTTCCAAAAAACATAATGTTACAAACGGATCTTTTTTTGTATTAAATATTGTGAAAAATTACAAGTTGTATTACTTTACTTATTATTCGTGATTAATTTCAAATGAATCATCGTATCAATTTATTTACTTCAATACAATTATATATTTCTAACATAGTACATTACTTTTCATAGCTTCATAAGATAGGGGATGAGTGTAATAGTGGTAGCGAACAAGCTGATAGCCACCCAAATGAAAACAGCAAGTGGCCAATACCATTTCTTGAGCGGACTTGAATAATAATTTACCGAAGGTTGCAATGTTTTTTGGCAGGTTTTTCTACCCGTATGAACCAAGAGTAACGGTATAATGTTCTGCGTAATGTTACCCCCGAATGTACCAGCTATCGGCACAAAAACTTTAATCTTATTGGTACATAAAGGCACAACAACTGACAAAATGACAAAGAACGGAAAATACAATTTCCTAATACAAAAATTATAAGTTTCGAAATCATTAAAACTTAGGCAGAGAACTTGTAAATGTTCCTGTAAGGACCTGGATATTTCGATAAAGACTATCAGTCCTGCAACAGCTGGATAAACAGCTATCAAGTAGTCAAATACCTTCTTTATCACAAAATCATCTGATTGAACGGCAAAATTAATACTGTACACCTCCTGGACAGGTTCGAATGCTAAAATTGCCGTAAACGATATGATAACGTACAAACAAATGACGCTACTGAAGATTTTCACAATATAGGACTGCAACCTGTTCTTTTTATGTACAGGATATAGAATCCGTAGGATAGAGTGATGACACATGAACGATAAAATCGTTGATCCTAGGAGCTTGGGCAACTGATGAGCTCCAGCCATTGCTACTGGCGTCTGAGTCTTGTTCCTACCAATTTTGTAAGCGGCAGAAATAATAATGGCCAGTACCATGGAGCTTCGGTATATAGAAATGATCAGATGCAGTGGCGTTGCTTTTTTTGATGAAAACGCGCTCAGAACAACACCCACCAATACGAAGACCAATGTCGAAATTCTATAAATGTTAATCTTCTGAAATGGTATTCCATCACTACATGTCTGATCGTTCGAAACGTATTCAACTTCTCCTCCGGAGCATATCGTGTGCGCCACGGACCTTCCGACAACAATGGTCACAATGAACGCTTCGAAATAGAGTTCCGCGATGACGATCGTTGTATACATCACTTGATCCGTTTTGCCAAGCATAATCATTATCAGCTCGCTCAAATTGTAATCTCTAGTGAGTGAGTAATCAGCATCCAGGATCCCTTTTCGGTAATCTTCTAATCTGTTTGCGCACGCTTGAGCCTCTATCAGAAATGAAGCGCTTAACCACGAAATGAATCCCAACCATATGATAATCACTGAACCGATGAACCAACCACTTAAAGAATAACTCCCAGGAAGTATAAGAACTCCAAGAGTCATTAAATAGTTAAATAACTTAAAGAGACTCGCTATAGTATCACAGCACTGTTGAACGAGTGGATTTGTCATAATGTCACTAAGTTGACATTGTCATTGACATTGAAACTACTTAACTCATCTTTTTGTTGTTTTTTGCGCCTCATTCCAATATAATAACATTTAGTGTATATTCAGTTAATCTACGGTGAACTGAATCTGTGAACGTACCTACTTTGATCACAAAACTTGCAAAGTAATCAATAATAACTGAGAATAAGCAATTAGTATAGAAATACAAAATCAGTAGTTTATTGTCTTCTACAGGAAAATTGAACTGCCATTTAGTATAAAGGGTCATTTCTCCTAGGGAAACAGAAATAGATGGATAATCCAAATACATAAATGTATAAAGATTATTTTGAGAAAATCATTTCTTGGTTAGGTAGAGGGAACGGGACTACTCTTACCTAACATAACCTAACTCTTTATCTGTTTTGGTGTGGCGTTTGGTATAAGAGGCCGCTTATGTTGGGAAAGGACCCATACTCTTGAAAACAGAAGCATATGAATAGTCCAAATATCTATATGTATGAATAAAGATTATTAATGAGTAGGTAGGGGAAATGGGAAGAACTTTCATCTGACATAACCTAACTCTCTTGTCTCTTTTCTTCTGGAGAGAGAGAGAGAGAGAGAGAGAGAGAGAGAGAGAGAGAGAGGAGATAACATCATCATAGTTTATGTTCATTATGGGTGTGTTCCGAAATATAACCCGGTATACTGGCCAGTGCTGATGGCGTCGTGAATCGACGCCATACTGTTGATTCGTTCCGAAATATACTGGCCAGTGCGTTGACGTCTAATTGACGCCATATTGAGAATAGTGTTTGTGCTCGTTTACAACAATTTTGCTCCAAGAGTTATTAACGTTTATTACAATAAAAAATTGTCCAAACTCTGAAGCACACACGCCCGTTTGATATACTGTTACGACACACTTGTTTCACCAGTACAATATGGTGGCACACCAGTACAATATGGCGTCGGTTCATGACGTCATCAGCACTGACCAGTATGCTGGGTTATATTTCGGAACACACCCTATGTCCTCTTCTATCAGCAGAAGAACCCAAGAGTTAAGGTTTTCTTAAGATAATAAAGACCACCAATAAATCTTCACTTCTTTTAAACAAGAAAAGCTCCTTCCAAAACAGTTTGTGATCTTAGGACCAAGCGGGATACAGAAAGCACAATGATTACTGTCTCAAAAATATAGAGAGATTGAGGATTGATAATGGGATTTTACTGCAGTCTTGTTAGTTGAAAGGTGGCAGTGAAAATGAACCTGAACTAAATCGACTTCTAAATTCCGCTGCAACTACGCCACAGCCTATATACGGCACATCCAGCACATCTTTCTGGTGCATAAAGTTAGATTATGGTGGGAAAATTTTCCCTCGTCTCCAACAAAAGAAAAATTGCCAAAAAGTGTGCTCTACACCGCGTATGATCAAAGAGCTACTGAAAGATCTTGTGTGGAATGATTTTATTTATTCAATGACATACGGCATACTTCGACTTCCTCATGCCGCAACGAGCAAGTAAAAAAATAAACGTAATACACATTATTCTAACTGATATCCACTGAAACAACCGACAATATTAAGATTGATATCACATGGACTACTGTCTATATGGCCAGCTGCTTTTCATATAATATCGTCAGGCAACGGTGAAGGCTTTAATAATATAAAAACAAAATAGCATCATCACACATCTGCTGCAACTGGCAATTTGGTGCACCGTGTGCTTTTTTACAAAAGTACGTTATGCGTCAAGCCGTTAAAATGCCGTATCAGCTTCCGTTGTTTTGCGTGGCTTTTGACCGATTCCATAGGCAGAAAAAGCTCTCTTATTACTGTGAACGTACGTAGTACGTGGCAGTTTTATCAACCCATTCAACAACGGGAAGTTCAGCCATGCAGAAGAAAGTAGTTCAGTAGCGATAGTATTCAATTCATTGTTCTTACAACAACCACGTATTTTAAGAAAACAAAATACTTGTAAATGTATATAACTTTACCACCATAAATAAATAAAATTCTTGAAAAACAATAAAGATATGTGTGCTCTAAGAAATCTACCATAAACGGTTTGAGTCATTTAAAGTGACGGTTCAGGCAATAAACTACCACAAAGAAATCGCCCATGTTTGCACGTATAGTCATCATCATAAAGGCGTCAGTCCTAAGACTGGTTGGACACGCACCTCCACTCTTTCCTATCTTGAACTAATCTTCGCATTTCCCTAAAATTAGAACAACCCACATCCTTATCTATTTGCGAACAATAATCTAATTAAGGTCTACCTCAACCCCTCCTAACTCCCGTTTCTGCCTCTAATATGTCTCTGACTAGACCTTCATGCCTGAGAAGGTGTCCTACCAACCTATCTCGCCAATTTCTTATTGTCTTCCATAGAGTCCTCTATTCTCCTATTCTTTCCAATACCTCTTCATTTCTAACCTTTTCTACCCACGATATCCTAATCATCCTCCTATAACACCACATTTCGAACGCTTCTAACCTTTTCTTTTCCTCCGCGCCCACCGTCCATGTTTCGCACCCGTACAGCGTCGCGCTCCAATCATACACCTTTAACAGCCTTTTCCGAATTTCTAAATTAATCGTTCGCGAGCATGGAAGTGACTTCTTTTTGTTGAAGGCGATTCGACCCTGCGCTATTCTCTGCTTTCCATCCCTACTGCTCCTTCCGTCCTGACTTAACTGACTTCCTAGGTGGAATCATAATATTGCGACGTCATTCAAACGAAATACGTTTTGTATTTTATTAACCAATTGTGCCTACAAAGCTCAATTAGGTCATATGCAAGCTCAGCGATGGTGCTGACCAAAATTTTGTCGAATATTTCTAGGGGAAGGGTGGCAACTAATACATATACATCTCCAAACCTATACATATATGATACCTGCACCTTCTACAAATTGTAGCAGTTTGTACCTATTTGTAAATATTATTTTAAAAACAACTGCTCAGTGGATATCACCTCTTAAGTGAACGAAACTTAAATTGGTGAGGCGAACTCAGAAACGGCAGACTAGACGTGACTATGACGTATGATAAATGACTATGAATTTGTTGAGGTTATATACCTATAAAACACTTATTTGCACCAAAAAAAACCACTAAAACACCTTTCCTTCTACGTTTTCTTATGAGTTTCTTATAAGTACACCTTCTTTAACTAAAACCCGTACTACAGGAGTTGAATTATTAATGAAAATTGAGGTGGCGAGTATGAAAATGAGGTGTGAACTTTGACGTGTGCTCTACAAATATTAATTTGAAAAAAAAGCGTTAAAAAGCCTCTCCCCCGGATTATTTCATGTAAGTTTTTCATAATTAGGCCATTTTACGTCATTTCCAGCAAAAAAGAGTTGCATTTTCGAAAAAGCCGCGATTCGGAAGTTTTACCATTAATAATATCACGGGAATGAACAAAATTTCAATATTAAGGCTGATTCCCACTATCCGTCAAAACGGCGGCAGGCAACCGTCCGTCAAATGTCCGTTAGTTTTATGTAGTATTCGCACTATACAAACAGCTGACCGTCAGTTTTCGGTCAAACTTTGGGCGATTAACAGCTTTCCGTTTCAAAAAATTTAAAAAATTGTTCCCGTAGTGTAAATCCACAAACTGAATAATATGTTGATGGACGACTGCCTGACGTCATTTAAATGACAGTGAGAATCAAGCTTTTAGGTTAATGGTTCCCTTGAATCTCAGTTTGATTTTGGACGAATTCAACTAGTTAATAGTATCTATAAATAACTATAATATCATAACTAGCTATAATAAAAAATGCTTTCTTATATAAATTTCGTATCAGCTGCATGTTATGTACTATATGTTGATAGATAAACGCTGTCAAAGAAACACATATTATCGTATTATTACACAACTGAGTGCTACCGGATAGTATATACGTACAAGTAAAAGCTTGCGTGTATACGTAAATGGGAAAGTTTCGAGAAGTCTTAATTTAAATAACATGATAGGTACCTTTCTAACATGAAATTACATTATACACTTACTTACCTGTTATACATTACGTCTATGTGCAGAAATTAGTGTCTTATCATTTATTATCAAGGAAAGTGGTAGAGACATATGTCAGGTTGTCAAAAACCTTTTCCCTATGTACGTAATTAGTAAGAGGAAAAAACTTGTCACACAAATTAGTTAAACTAGAAATTTATGATATAACATTTAATAAAAAAAGTTGAAGAAAAGTTCACCGAAAATTTTCTCGATTCGTTACAGTTGTGAAAATACTAGGTGGTAAACATATCCGTATCATTAAAATAGATATAGAGAAGGTGCAATCTAAAGAAGTTACTATTAAATATTTAAAATATGTACCAACAACAATAAAAATTAAAATCCAATGTTAATTGAAATTCACACTACTACTTATCTGAAAAGAACTACTTACTATAAAGTGGATTAAAACTTCCCTACAGATATACAAATCTGGAATTATCCGACCATCACATTGTAGTTTTTGAAATTACTGTCGATAAACAAACAAACAATGAACCTTTTTTCAAATGAACCATCCCTTAATTTAGGATTTAGGTGTTTTAGTGCATACTTTTTCTTTTGTTTGCGTTTTCTCTAAATGAACACGGATTATAATTGAAATTGTGTGGTAAACTGCGCCATATAATAAATGTTGCCGTTTCGATTCATGAAAATCCATATATATTGCAGATTTTGAATCTCAAACCAGTTTTCGTAATAAGAGACCGATTGAGGTCACTGTGTGCCGAGGGCGGCAGCTCAGTGTAGGACCTTTATGTTATAGCACTGTATTTCCGAATATGCAGATGATTATCGGTCTCCTGAAGACTTTTACGAATTGAATTAACAGTAATGCACGCAGCTTAAAACCGCAGCGAATATTCACATATACAGAGTGTTTTTGAAATATGTAGCTAGCTTGAAAGACGTAATAGGCCACTATAA